CCAGGAGTCATTTACAGCCACAGAAACAGGAGTGATGAGTGTGAGAAGAGCCCTGAGGCTGGATCTCCTACACAGAGCTGTGTCTACAGCCTCCCCAAGAGGAACCTCAGCCCCTCTGATGCTGGGACTTACTACTGCGCTGTGGCCATGTGTGGGGAGATGCTGTTTGGGAACGGCACACAGCTGCATATAAACGGTAAGCTATTAGTCGATGAAATCATTTTAAAATCCAAATGCAAAACAAATCCGACAGTCAGAAATTAGAGTGTAAATCCATTATTATCGTTGCAGTGTGACATCATCTCAATTTTATCATGCCAGTTACATTAGATGTTTTTTTCTCCAGGATTCCATTGTTCTTCAGAGATGATGGTGCTTAACTATCTCTCCATTATAAGAGCTGGACTTCTCCTCTGTGCTCTGCTGATATTCACCTTCTGCTATGGCGCAGTCAAGGTATCCTAGCCAATGTGTAATTTACAAATTACTTTGGCGGATTTTTTATTGAGCTTAAGCTGTTATCATAGAATCTGATACCTTGCAAAAGACAATCTTCACATTTACAAAAATTTTAAATCAATATGTTGTCTGAAAAAATTAGAGATGCACCGATCCAGACTTATTTGATGAATCGGGTATCGGCCATGCGTAACCGATCCACCTCCTATACTTACTTATTTAGTTTTTAGCTCCTATTTCATGTTAAATCTGTACAATCAATCGCACGGCAGCTCTTTCCCATTTTACATGTGTTTTTTGGGGCATTCAAATCGAACGCTAACGCTGCCCCTCGGTCTTTTCTGCTACTCAGTGGGTGTGAGTACAGTGACTTCCGCCTGCTGTGATGTCATGCGCATACCCTTCGCAGTACGAGGGCGTAAGATAAGATGTGACGACCTAGGAGTATTTTATGCTTTAAACAGAAACCAGTAGCACAGCGATTTGCAATCTTTGTAAAATACAGTTTTGGGAGGTGGGAATAGCGTTTAATTGACAATACCACTTAACAAGCGCACGTAACTGTGCGAGACAAAAAAAGCAATGGATGATTTGGGAGTCGCTAACTTGGGCTGTCCTGTGAACTCACTGCAGCTTGTGATACAACTGAGCTGTTGCCAATGGGAGAAAAAATGTGTTAAAATTTTAAGCATTCGCCACTTGTGTATACTTGCTTTGAATACATTCATATTTAACTGCAAATGCCTCAAAAACGCTTAAAACAAGACGTACAAACGATGTGCAACAGTACGTTATGTATGTTTGTAGTAGCCTTTTGTCATATATTTTTCCATCTGCATTTACTAGCTTAAAAAAAGTATAACAAAGTAAAAAGAGCTATTGTATCAGCATCTGTATCGGTATCGACAGTTGTGTATCGTAATCAGATCGGAACTGAAAAAATGTGGATCGGCCCATCCCTAGAAAAAAATAATTTGCATGATTTCTACCATCTGATATCTGCCATTTAACTAATTCTGTCATGTAGCAATAGATTGGAGTCTGTGATGTTTTATATGTTAATTTTTCACTTCTTACTTAGCAATGAAGAATGATACAAGTAGAAAGCTGTTGAGGAATGCCTTTTCCATCCGTTTTTAAGCCTGACAGCTCAATCAAAAAACGTGAAATGAATAAAAGTTGGTCAGACCATACTCAGAGAAAATTACTTTTATAATTCCGTTATTTAAATGCCCAGTTTTCCATTACTTAATGCAATATATACTGTGCAACATGTCCATTTAAATTTATACATTTTTCAATGTTAGGAAATAAATTGTAAATAGTGATATTTTCTAATGAAACAGCTTAATTTCGGAAGTATGGGTAAACTGGTAGAAATCATTCATTGCTTTGCATAATTGTGTGCAAAATTATATAGTTCAAAGAGAAAAAGGTTTTACAATCTGTAAGCTTATGGTTAAATTTTTGGAAGCAG